GCAAAGCTGGAGTCGTGGATCCAGCTACTTGAAAAACACGCCAGGTCTGTGTGTACGTGTGTGTGTGTGTGTGTGTGTGTGTGTGTGTGGCCAAAATCCTGAAAAGATGGAGAGGGAGAGGAAAAGTGGTTTTGGTGTGACCATGCCCCATGGGAGGGTGCTTTCTCCCTTTCCCTCTCTATCTGCCTGTCTATGGGGAGCACACATGCTCTCTGGCAAAAACAAAACAAAACAAAACAAAACCAACTCACTTGCTACGCATTAATCTCTTATTTTCACTCACCAGAGAGACAGGGAGAAAGCACCTCCCACGAGGAATGGTCATACCACAATCTGTTCTCCTTCATTTCTCCTCCCACTTTTCAGGATTTTGAGCATGCACACACACACACATGCACTCGGTGTGTTGAGAGAGACAAAGAGGGAGATGGACTCAATGCCACGACCCTCCAGCCTCCACCGGTTCTTGCCACAGGGTGGGTGCTACCACACTCGCTCTGTGTTTTTTAAAAGCCACCAGCTCCAGTGCTCGAACCCCATAGCTGGCTAAGTGGTATCTCGCTGCCTTAACCACCAGGCTGTGGAGTCAGCCCAATAACATTTCTCTTTTTAGAGGCACCGAGGCAATCAGTTTTTTCAATATTTAAAATTCAGTTAAGTTACCATTCTTTCACATTAATATCAATTCTTCATGTTGTCCAGTATGTCTTCATGGTAGAAGTGAAGAACAGGATTTCAACAACAGCTGCTTAATGAACTTGCAATTTATTTATTTATTTATTTTTGGAGAGGTTTTTGCCATAGGGTACGTGCACTTGCCAGAAAGACAGAGAGACAGAAAGCGAGAAATCACCCCCCAGGGGGGATGGCCACACCGCAATCCCTTCTCCTCCATTCTCCTCTCAGGATCTTGGGCACGCACGCACACACGCCCAGTATGAGTTTAAGCCACCAGATCTGGGACTTGCCGGTCCATGGTTAACCACATGGGAGTCCAGTGACATAGCCATTATGTCAACTGCTAGTCCCTAAACTTGCATTTTTTGAAAAATATTATTTTGGTTAAAATCAGTTAAAATACAAAATTTTAAAAACCGTGTTTTGAGCCAGTATAATTTAATCTAAGGAGCTTTACATTTACCGACTGGATATCAGAAACTAAAAGGCAGCACCTAGCAGAACATTTCACATCTGGGATATTGCGCAGCAATTATCACACCAAAAGAGTGTGAATAATTATGCAGTAATTTACAACACTTAAACCTCTGTAGAACTAAAAACTAAACGAGACTTAAGATTCATGGTTTGTTACTATCAAAGAAGTGCAAAGACGTTCTATTAAAAGGGGAACCCTAACCAACCAAAAGAGACTGGATAAAAGAACAGAAGATATGACTGCGGAGTGGGTCAAGGAGGCAGAGTGTGGGTAGGAGCGACCATGAATCTTGGCCGGACTGTGCACGCTGCGTCTCTGCTGACCCAGACTGCAGCCCCTTTCATCTGATCTATTACCTACAAAAAATGGAGGAAATTCATTGTAAATTATTTCTTCTGGAAATAAAAGAAAAAATGATCTACTTACGTGATTTAAGTTCTGAAAAATTACAAAAGACAAGAGAGGAAAGACTTAAATTTCTCAGGGGAAGTTCTTTAATAAGACAAACAATTCTCAAATCAAATGATTATAATAAGTATATAACTCTTTTTCTTTGAAAAAGAGTCTATACTAAGTTTTATTAACTAATCCTTTAAGTCAATGTTACTGTAATGTAGCTTTTATAACATAAAAGAAGATATCTATTTAAATACCCTTGGAAACAAAGGTAAAAGGATTTTCCCAAAGCTATTAAAAGAAACAAACAGAACTGAGGAATAAAATCCTGAACTCTTCGGACCCAGTATATAACTTTAGTTCCTCTATAGATATATCTTTCAAAATATTTTCTTTGTTTTATAAAATGATTATTTTTGAAAAACAGAAAGAAGAGATCTTGCTGAATTGAACTTCTAAGATTATTCTGTTTACCTGATTTTAGTGAAAATGTAGTTTCTTAAAAATCACACAATGATATAAAAAAATGAAAGAAAGGGGCTGGCAGGTGGTGTGGTGGTTAGGGGCGCTGGACTCCCACATGGCAGACCGTAGTTCAAGTCTCGGACGTGGTGGCTTGCTTTCTTACTTTCCCTGACTCTCTCTGTCTCTCTCTCTGGTCAAATTAAAATAACATATAAAGTTAAACAAAATAATTCTTTATTAAAAAAGAAAAAATGAAAGCAAATCATTTTTCATTAAGCACTGCATGATTATTAGCCATTTGCTTTTTTTTTGGACTGGCAGTATTTGCAGGACATATGAAAATAATGTTTTGTTCATAGTGAAATACAAACACCAGATAATCTTATAAATGCTATAAGCAAAATTCTTTGATATAAATATTAGGGTCGCATGCCTAAATTAGTTTTCTTTTCCAATTCTGTTTCAGAAAACATTTGTACAGTGAGTTATCACATGACAGGATACAGTATTTATAATGGTATTATACTCTATCAAAGAGCCTCTTTTGAATAATTATAGCTACTATAGCCAAAAGCATCAGAAGTAATCCAAAACTATATGCTCTCCAGTATTCGATCACGTTTAGTTCATTTCCTATGGCAAGGAGTTTCTTACCGAAATAATCCAGCACTCCAACAAAACCGTTTCTAAAATGCTGTTACTTATTTAAAGTGCAGAACACTGAGCTACACACGAGGTCAGCATGTTTCAGGAATACTCCTGTGTTTTTCCACCATGTTTTCAAACCTTGGGTAATAAGTTGTGAAATCAACTTAGTGGGTTGCAATCCATATTTAAAAAATGAAATACTCGGGACCAGCAGTTAGCGTAATGGTTATGTCACTGGACTCCCATGTAGTTGACCGCGGTTCGAGTCCTGGACCTGGTGGCTTAAACTCACGCCGGGTGTGTGTACGTGCATGCCCAAGATCCCGAGCAGAGAATGGAGGAGAAGGGATTGTGGCATGGCCATCCCCCTGGGGGGGGATTTCTTGCTTCCTGTCTCTGTCTTTCTGGGGGAGTGCATGTGCCTTATAGCAAAAACCTCTCCAAAAAAAAAAAAAAGAAAAGAAATACTATAAAATAAAACAGAATATATCATTGAGCATTACAGGTAGTAGGAGTAAGTATCATTTTAAGAAGATTTTGTTTTATATATGTGTATGGAAGTAGATACAAGTAGGAAAACAAATATGTATGTGTGCACTAGGTTGCAATACGAAAGGTATTTACTTTAATGTGGACTGTGGTCAAAAAAGCTAACAAATCATATAGTATGTTTTATTCCCTCCAAATTAGGTGGCATGTTTTACTGGAAAAAGATGTAAATTTTGATGACATTCAAATTCTCACTTTATTATCCTATCTGTGTGAATTGGTTACTTACATTTTTAGAGTCTAGATCTCTTTATCAGGGATATAAAATGAATATAATAATACATTCTTTAAAATGTTGCAGGTTAAAATAAGATGAATACTTAGAAAATAGTTTATAGATAATAAATGATCAATAATGGTTGCAGTTATTATTATTGGATTAAAATAGCTTATTGCTAGTGAGCACTATGAGTTAAATATAACGTATTGGGTCACAATTATATTTATCTTAAAAACATCTGAACACATCTCCCAAACAGAAAACAGCTCATGCTAATCAAAGGTAGAATTTTAGTTTTATTTTTCTTCTGTTTCTTTTATTTTATTGCTATAGGGTGACTGCACTCACCACAGAGGGAGGGAAGGAGAGACAAAGAGAAGGAGAGAGAGAAAGAGAAATCCCCCCACCCCCTGCTCCTGGGGGAGATGACCAAGCTGCAATCCCTACTCCTCCATTCCCTCAGGATTTGGTGTATGCACCCACATGTGCTGGCACGTTTTTTAAGCCGATGGTTCCAAGACTCTAAACATGCAGTCGGCCATGTGGAATCCAGCCACCTTCACCACCACGCCACCAGCTGGCCCCAAAGGTAGAATTTTAGAACAGGTTTTAAACAAATAAAGAAAGTAAAACACACTTAAGGGAAAACAAAACACCAGTCCAGTGAAAAGGTAGAGTCTAGGTTAATGTGAATGTGACTAGGTTAATGCGAATTTTCAACAGTCAGCCTAAAATATTAAAATACCACACTTCCAGGAATGATCAAGAGAGGAAAATATTGTTTACACTATGACACCTTTAGTAACGATGCTGGATATCTGCTGTGGGAAGGTTATTATAATTGTGGAACAATGCTGGCCCATCAGATTTTTTCCTGTAAATATTCCTTTAAATACCATCTAGAGAAGAAAAATCTTCAATTCATTATCAAAGCATTGACTTTCTAAAACAGCGATGCCTGAATAACTTAAAATAGATGTCTTGTGTTCTCATTTTACATTTTACTGGCTTTGGAATACATCCAGGAAACAATCTGTATTCATTAACTGTGCAAAAGTATTGTCTGTTTCAATATAGTCTACATTTTCCTTTAAAAAAAAAAATCTGCCAGAGCATGTGTGCACTTGCTGGAGAGAGACAGAGAGAGAAAGACAGGGAGAGTGAGAAGACACCCCTCGTGGGGCATGGCCAGGCTGCAACCCTCCATTCCTCCTCCTTGTCAGGACTGCGGGCATGCATGCGCAAACAAGCGTTTGAATCAGTTGGGTCTGGGACTTGAACCTTGTGATTGGCCACCTTCATCACAATGGCACTAGCTGACCTGACAGCTTATGTTATTTTCTAAAGTGATGAAGCATATATATATTTTTTTCAGTTCTGCAATCTCCATTTTTGTCCATAAAAATGTGACTTCATAATTTAAAATCAAACAAACATATTCTTGAAGAGATTGAATTTTTTTCCTCCTCTAAATGAAAGATAAAGAAATGGAGAGCGAAGAGTATTCTAGCTTTTCAAAAACAACAGAAACACCATACATCATTCTTTTCTTGGAAAACAGTTTACCTGCCAGGAAATGAATGCTGCCCGACTACATCTCCATTTTGAAGGTGATAATCATTGAAGAAATCTGGACTTATGGCTCCTTCAGAGGCAATTAATCCATCTAAAAAGAAGGAAAACGATAACTAGTGAAATATATTTGTAGGAAATAAAAAGAATATTATCTTATTAAGCAAAATAATAAGAAAATAACCCGTATATATATATTTTTTTTTCGAGAGGTTTTTACTATAGGGCACGTGAGCTCGCTAGCCAGCCAGACAGACATAGAGACAGAAAGCGAGAAATCACCCCCCAGGGGGGATGGCCACGCCGCAATCCCTTCTCCTCCATTCTCCTCTCGGGATCTTGGGCACGCACGCACATGCGCCTGGCTTGAGTTTTAAGCCACCGGGTCTGGGACACGAACCACGGTCGACTACGTGGGAGTCCAACAACATAGCCATTACACTAACTGCTGGTAGGAAATAACCTGTATATTTAATCTGGAAAAAAAAATGTTAGCTTGACATGCTGCTCTTTCTAGGAGTATGAATAGAAAACCATATGTATGTTAGTGTTTTGTTGACAATTGAGCCAAATCATCTATCATGTGCTAGGTACTATATAGGCACAGAGTAAATTTGACAGTTTCTGTCTTCAAGGGACTTACAGTCTTCTGGAGAAAAAGATACAGAAAAAGATATAGGAGATCAGGCAGGGTTGGGAAGGACAGTAAGGATGGTCCAGGCCTGGTTAAAGGCAAGGAAGAATTAATAAGAATGGTGCATGAGGCCAGCCGGTGGCAGAGTGGTTAAGGTGCTGGACTCCTACATGGCTGACTCTGGTTTGAGTCCTAGACATGGCAGCTTGAAACACACGCTAGGTGCATGTCCTAAATCCCAGGAGTGGAATGGAGGAGAAGGGAATGCGGCATGGCCAACCCCCCACCCCCAGAGGGTGGTGATTTCTCATTCTCCTTCTCAGTGTCTCTCTGTCTCTCTCCAGTGAGTGCACACACCCTATGGCAAAAACCTTAAAAATAAATAAATAAATAAATAAAAGGATGGTGCCAGCCAGTGACATGGTGGTTAAGGCAACTGGATCTCACATGGCTGACTGCATGGTTTGAGTACTGGACCCGGTGGCTTGAGAAACACACTAAGTATGCGTATGCATGCCCTAAGTCATGAGAAGAGGAGGGATTGTGGAGTAGCCATCCACCTGGAGGTGCTTTCTCATTTTCTTTCTCTTTTCTCCCTTTGTCCTCCCCTCTCCCTGACAAGTGCATGTGCCCTATTGCAAAAAAAAGTATGGTGCTGGTATAAAGATCAATACATAAGTATAGTTCACATTTTATACCCAGACAGCTTCATTTGTGTAGCATGATTAAATTAAATACAGTTATGCTGCACAATGACATTTTAGTCAACCACAGAACACACATACAACTGTGGTCTTATAAAATTATGGAGCTGAAAAGTTCCTACTGCTTAGTGACATCATAGTGCAACACATTACTAATGTGTGTGTGGTGATGGTGTAAACAAACCTACTGCACTGACAGTTATATGAAGTACTGCACATATAATTATAAGGTTTAATACTAATAGTGATAATAATATATTAAGTTACTGGTTATATATTTACTAGACTAGAAATTTTAAGAATATTACATATTTGCATCTTCCATGGGAGAAAGACAGAAGCTATGGAGAGACAGACACCACAGCAGAGTCTTCAGGCCAGAATTTACTCCCACCCCCTGTTCTAGGTGGCCCACTTCAAGGGCACACTTGTGAGATTACTGGGGCACCAAAGGAGAGCTTAGGACACAAACCCGAGGCCTTGCTCATGTGGGTCTAGCTGTGTCTCTGCTGCATCACTGCTCAGCCCCTAAACCATACTTTTGTTTTATTTTTGTTTGTTTGTTTGTTTTTGGAGAGGTTTTTGCTATGGGGCATGTGCACTCTCCAGAAAGAGAGAGACAGAGAGACAGGCGAGAAATCACCCACCAGGGGGGATAGCCAGGCCGCAACCCCTTCTCCTCCATTCTCCTGTCAGGATCCTAGGCACGCATGCACACGTGCCTGGTATGAGTTTAAGCCACTGGGTTGCGGGCTCGAACCACGGTCAACTACATGGGAGTCCAGCAACATAGCCATTACGGCAGCTGCTGGTCCCTCTCTGATCGAAGTTTTTAAAAAAGAGTAATAGTAAATGACATTAAATAAATAATTCTTTTAAAAAATATGAATAAAAAATGATGGTTTTACAGCAGTCCCAGACCCAGTGGCTTAAACTCACACTGGGTGTGTGTGCGTGTGTGCCTAGGATCCTGAGAGGAGAATGGAGGAGAAGGGATTGTGGCGTGGCCATCCCCTTGGGGGGTGATTTTTCACTTTCTCTCTTTCTGGCGAGCGCATGCACCCTATAGCAAAAACTTCCAAAAAAAAAAAAAAATGACCATAGAGAGGCAGAGAAAGAGAATGTGAGGGGAAAGTGAGAAAGCAAGGCACCAGGTCCAGGACTTGAACTGCAGTTGGCCATGTTGGAGTCCAAAATTCAAATAAACAAATAAAATTTAAAAATGAAAAAAGCTCATAGAATAAATATATAAAGAAAAGATTTTTTTAAAGAATTATTCTATTTAACTTTATTTATTTAATTTATTTATTTCAATCTGACCAGAGAGGGACAGAGTGAGAGAGAGCGAAATGGAAAGTGAAAAAGCAAGCCACCAGATCCAGGACTTGAACCATGGTTGGCCCTTAACCACCATACCACCTGCTGGCCCCAAGAAAATATTTTTATACAGCTGGATAACATGTTTGTGTTTTAAGCTAAGTGTCATTACAAAAAAGTCAAAAGTGAAAAAAAGAAGTTTGCAAAATAAAAAATTACAGTAAGCTAAGGTTATTAATGAAGAAAAAAAAAATTTAAGAGAGGTTTTTGCTATAGGGTGCATGGGCTAGCCGGAGAGACAGAGACAGACATGCGCCTGGCATGAGTTTGAAGCCACTGAGCCAGGACGTGAACTGCAGTTAACTACGTGGGTCCAGCAACTTAACCATTACGCCATCTGCTGGTCCCGAAAAAGTTTTTTTTTTTTTTTTTTTTTTTTTATGTGTTTTTACTATGGCCCTTTTGCTATAGGGCGCATGCGCTCACCAGACAGAGAGAAAGAGACAGAGAGACAGAAAGTGAGAAATCAACTCCCAGGGGGGATGGCCACGCCCCAATCCCTTTTCCTCTGTTCTCCTCTCGGGATCTTGGGCACGCACGCACACACGCCTGGCGTGAGTTTTAAGCCACCGGGTCCGGGACGCAAACTGCGGTCGACTACATGGGAGTCCAGCGATATAGCCATTACACTAACTGCTGATCCCCTGCAAAAGTTTTTTTTTACAATGAACTTCATGTACCCTAACTATAAAGTAGCTGCTGAGTCCCCAGTCCGCATTCACTCACCTCTCACTCACCCAGAGCAACTTCCAGTCCGGCAAGCTCCATTCATGCTAAGTGCATCACACAGGTGTACCATTTTATCTACTTTTTGGTATTGAGTTATGTTTCTACACAAATTCCATTGTGTTACAATTGCCCACAGTATCCAGTAACGATATGCTATACACGTTGGTAGTCCAGGAGCTAGGGCCTATACCACACAGCCTACACATACGGTAGGCTAGACCATCTAGATTTGTGTAAGTCCACTCCACGACGTTTGCATGATGATGAAAGTGCCTAATGATACATTTCTCACAATGCATTCTTGTCCTAAAGTGAGGCATGACTGCATTTCAAATAAAGGAATTTCTGACTAAGCAACGCTTGACAATTTAAGTATACAACATAAAACATGGTAGAAATTTTTATAAATAAAATTTACATTGCCTGTGCACTTAAAAGAGTATTCTGGACCAGCTCTGTGGTACAGTGGTAATGCACTGTTCAAGGGAAGCTGGATGGCAGATGTTGACTGTGGTTCAAATCCCTGACCCAGTTGGTCTGATTGAACATACCAGGTACATAGTGAATGCTCAGGATCTGACAGGTTGGAGGACTGGAGTGAGGGTCAGATGCTACGAAGGGTGCTCATCTCTCTCTGTCTCCCAATCACTCTCATGTGCACACATTCACTCCATGATGAATAAGAAAAAAAAGGGTATGCCGTGCATAATTTAAATACTTTTTGATGATGGATCTTCATTACAAATGTCAGTGTAATGTCAGTCATATCCTGCAGTTATCAGATATATCTGACTGCCTGTGCTAAAAGGCTCTAGTCTCTATACCTGAACTCAAAGGCTTTTTGAGTTCTTTTTCTTTACTTGTAAAGCTTTTCCTAAGTCTAAGTCTTTGTTATAACTTTCTGCTGATCTTAAGTGATTTTTTTTTCTCATTTGTTCCAATTTAAGAATCCAGATAACTTGTTTTTGATACAATTATTAACAAGAAGGATCTGAGGGAACAAAAACATTTCAGTGATGGTTTCAAGGCTATCTTACACATAAAGCAAATAGTCCCGGCCTTTGCAGTAACTGCTTGGATAGCTCTGAGGTCTTTCAAGGCTGTCTTTTCCGAAAGTGTGCTGAGTGCCCTCTAGATAGCGCCAGTGAGGTAGCCCTGCCACACTGGTCACTGATGTGGCATTGCTATAGCAGGCACACTCCTTAGGCACCAGGAGATCAGTTCACACCTAGTACATGCATGATAATACCATACTAGGTCTTGTAGGAAATGTAAAATTATAATACACAGGCTCTACTTTCAAGAATTTTAGTTGGGACCAGCAGTTGGCATAATGGCTATGTCGCTGGATTCCCAGAAGTCGACCGCGGTTCGAGTCCCGGACCTGGTGGCTTAAACTCATGCCAGGCACATGTGCGTGCATGCCCAGGATCCCGAGAAGAGAATGGAGGAGAAGGGATTGTGGTGTGGCCATCTCCCCTGGGGGGTGATTTCTCACTTTCTGTCTCTCCGTGTCCCTCTGTCTTTCTGGTGAGTGCACGCAACCTATAGCAAAACAAACAAACAAACAAACAAACAAAAAAACACCTCTCAAAAAAAAATATTTCTTGAGAGAGAGAGGAAGAGATGCACCCCCAAAAAGGTCTTTATGCCAAGATCATGGGCACGCATACACGCACCTGGGACCAACCTGGGACCATCCCATGCAGTGTAAGCATTGTGGGGTGCTGGTTACTGCTGCATCTCTGTGCTGGCCTACGAGCATCCTTAAGCTCCTACTGTAACAGTGTTGTTTCAAAGACAGTGACAAGGAACCAAAACATTTCACATGACGTTGAATTGTTTGGAGAACAAACAGAAAACAGAGCCACAAATCAGGCACTCTACGTTGCAGGGTATTATAACCATTCAAATGGCTGTGCTATATGAAACTATTTAGACCTTACTTATACACTGCACATTTCCGAGCAGCTCCTGGTAATGATAAAAACAGGTAAGAACAAGACAGTACACATCAGAGCAGTGATAAATAAACCAGATTCCTCATCAGCACACATAATTTATCAACCTTAACTCCTAAAATCCAGTTCAGAGACTGACTTGCAAATATTGGGAATACAAGTAAAAAAATACAAAAACCCAATTTTTACTGACATTAACTCTATCTTGAATGCCACGAAGACAAATAAAAATATAATATTGGGCTCTTTTGTAAATGGGCTAAAAGTGTAATGGTGACTATGTGGGACAAAGTAGATGTCGGTAACATGGAAAATGAGAAAGACATTCCTAAAAGACTATTCACCTATGTGGCAATACCTGATAAGACACTTCATAGAACGCACGTAAATGAAATCTACGATGTTTATGAGCATCCTCAGACAGGAAAAAAGAAATTTTAAACTTCATATTTCAAAAATGTACTTGGGCCAGCAGGTGGTATGTAGGTTAAGACTGACTGGATCCCACCTGGCAAACTCTGGGGTCCACATCTCCCAAGTTGGAGGCTTCAGAATCATGTCAGGCACATATGTGGACATGCCCCAAATCCCTAGAGACTGGAGGAGAAAGAATTTTATGTAGCACAGCCATCCCTCTGGGGAGTAATTTTCACTTTTCCTCTCTTTCTCTCTTTCTTTCCTTGTCTCTCTCCAGTGAGTCCATATACCCTATAACAAAAACTAGGGAAAAAAAAAAAAAAGAATTTTGGGGCCAGCAGGTGGCTTAGTGGTTAAGGCAATGGGCTCCCACATGGCTGATCATGGCTTGAATCCCAGACCTGGAGACTTGCTTTCTCATTTCCCTCTCTCTCTCTCTTTCTGATCAAATTAAGAAATAATAATAAAAAAATGAAATAAATCTTTTAAAAAAGAATGTATTCACATATTGAAAACTAGATTCACCACAATTAATAAAGAACAATTAGGAAAGTAAAAAGTCTTTTACAAATGTGTTTTATAAATTATACTTCCTTTATGGTCAAAAGTACTAAGGCAAACAGCTTTATTTTTCTGTCAGCAAAGGAAATTAATCAGTGACTACAATAAAAATAATTCTGGTCCCTAATTTACATACAATAAAAGAGGCTGCTATTATCCAGATTTCCATGAGAGACATCAAGAACACCTCAAAGATTCATATGCTGTTCATGGAAAATGAACTGAGTAAAATAATTCACGAACTAAAATATACCAATGGCTTGCTCTGAACACTGTATCTTTAAACTCAGTGCATGTGGTTTTCACTGTCAGATGTCTACTGTTATCAGGCTACAGATATTAAAAACAATGAAAAACATTTCCTGATAACATTTCATTCTGCAAATGCTTACTTTTTTTTTTTTTTTTTCTTAAGAGAGATATTTCTACAGTGTGTGTGCTTCCCGTTCCCAGACAGAGAAGAGGGACAGAAAGTGAGAAATCACCCCCCAGGAGGGATGGCCATGCCACAATCCCTTTTCCTCCATTCTCCCCTTGGGATTTTGGATACACACGTGCCCAGTGTGAGTTTTAAACTGTCAGGTCCAGGACTCGAACTGCGGTCGACTACAAGGAATCCAGCAACGTAATCATTACGCCATTTGGTGGTCCCACAAATGTTAACATTTATTAATTTTTCCAGTGTCAATTGCTGTTTCTAAATTTTGGTATACAAAAGCACAAAACTTTTTTATATCAGAATAAATTATACATTTTAATTATAAAGGATTTCACAGAAAAATATTTTACTTTTAAAAGTTAATTTAAATGAATGCATTTTAGAAACCTAAATCTTTTAGAAATCTGTTCTGAAGTTTTAAAGCAACAATGTAAAGTACTAAGGTGGTTAATAGTTTTATTCAGATTTGGAAATTGATTCATGCTAAAAAGTGGCTATCAATCTTTAAATCAAGAAACTCGATTCCAAGAATATTTTAACTTTTATTAATGAAAAAGTTCCTATCAGATATATTTGACATCATTTTACTTCAAGAATATAAAACACGTAAAGAATAGCCAGTTGCCATCACTGACCTAAGAAATTCTAGTTGGTTGAATTTAAATGATCTGCTCTATCTGGTTTGAAAAACAGGCAGCATTTCATAACTACTATAAAGGTTAGTTAGGAAGGAACCCATTTTCTCTCTTTTAAGAATTATTTAATTTTATTTATTCTTTCATTTATTTTAATTTTACCAGAGACAGACAGACTCACAGAGAGAAGGAAAGTGAGAAAGCAAGCCACCAGACCAGGTCCAGGACTCGAAGCGTGGTTGGCCATGTGGGAGTGTTCAGCACCTTAACCACCATGCCACCTGCTGCCCCCCCCATTTTATTTTCAAAGTGAAGTATACACTGTCCAGGATTCAAGCAGCTGTATCAAATATAAAAGCAATTCAGTGTCTGTGGGAAACACATGGATAAACATGTGGACGGTACCACTGGCAGACGGAGACCCACTGCTTCTGCCTTGCCATCGCCTTGCCTTACCTGAGTTGTAGAAGAGGTCGGGTCTTTCGAGAATATCTCCCTCATGGATGTAGGGCTCAATTCGATCATCGCCGTACAAGTACTGCTCACTCTCATCCATCTGGCGACTCTCTACCATCTCCAGCCACTGAGAGTTATGCCAGCGGAACTTTTCACTCTGAATCCTCTTAGCCCATTCCTCATCATACTCCTGTGGAACACAAATGCATAACTGTTTCTATGTAAGCTTACACCTCAGGTACTTAAATGGCAATACTTTCATCTCAGAAGAACTTTGAGAGCTTTCCTCGGGGTCACAGACGACATGAAAATACCTGTTCACAATTACTTTATATAGCAGTCAATGAAAAGAATTAAATACATACATTAAAAGAGTGTTAGAATTGTCAGTCACTAATGGCAATAGCAAATACTGCAAACCTGTAAATCTCACAAATTCTGAGTTAAACATTATCTAAATATTGCCAAATTTTAGATGCCATTAAGATGTTAGCACCATAGTTATAATTGTATGTGGCACCAATGACAGGTGATTAGCATTAAAATGAAACCTTTTGTTATATCTTTCAGTTTAGAAAACACTAAGGGAAAAAAAGCACTATTAAAGTATTTCTTTTAATTGCTAAAATGGTTTACTATGGAAAATAAATAGCAGCATTTTGTTCCCAGCATGAAATACTCATGTTGTCTTATTCAGTTGTAATTATTTTTTGTCCGAATGTTCTTGGACCATGAACTCCTAAAGAGTAAGATTGTGGCTCCTTTAGTGACAGGTGTATCTGTAACACTTGTCACAAAGTTAGTTCCTGTTGGCTGTTTTTATAGGATAAATAGGCAAATTATGATATAGCAGAAGCAATCTCCCCACTTCTTCCATAAGTTACAGCTACTTCTGACTTGTGTATTCATTCAACAAAGGATAACAGAAATGATGGCATAGATTGTAGGGGAAAAAAAAAAAGGCTTTGGTTATTTCATATCATCCTAACCTTGGACAGTTGGTTTTACAATTCTCTGTTAATCTTTAAACACATGAGGTTATGTTGTCTAAGGAGGAGCTAGAGGAGGGCTGAGCAAAAGCACCATCAAGACTGATAAGAGGTAGACCAACATATTTTATTCAAATGCTGACCAATTTTCAGCCAAAGTTGAGACTCAAATGAAAAACTGTCATCATCAGAGGCCAACAGGTGGTGTAGTGGTTAAGGCGCTAGACTCCCATGTGGCTGACCATGGTTCAAGTCCAGGACCCAGTGTCTTGACAGTCAAGCTGGACACGTGTGTGCCCAAAATCCCAAGAAGAGAACAGAAGAGAAGGAACTATAGGGTGACCATACCTTCTGGGGGGAGGGGGGGTAATTTCTTGTTTTCTGTCTTGCTGTCTCTTTGGTGAGTACACATGTCCTATAGCAAAAATATCTCAAGAACTGCCCTCCCAAAATAAACCCCCAAAATTGTCATAAAAGAATAAATTTCTGGGATTAAGACTAAATCTGAAATCTTACAATAAGTGTAATTATTATAATTTTCTTATTAAAATTTCACTTGTTCAATTTTAACTTTCACATGGTCAACCGGTCTCAGTGTCAGTGTGAGACTGTGCGCTCTGTAACTGTCTTTCTGAAAATGCATACACGCTCCCTTCCACGGAGGCTGGTAAATAGAGGCGTTTTTGGCTATGGCACTGACAATGGCCATTTGCCACAAAATTATCAAGTTTTCCTTCTTCTCTAACAGTTATCCACAACATTTCCATTAGTTGTCAATCTAACTCCTAAAATAATTATTTGAAATAAATTGTATAACATTAAGAGCTACAGTAAATATTAATTCTTACATTTTGCTTTAAAAATAATAAACACTTGGGAACCAGCAGTTAGCGTAATGGCTATGTCGCTGAACTCCCACGTAGTCGACCGCGGTTCGCGTCCCGGACCCGGTGGCTTAAGACTCACACCGGGCGTGTGTGCGTGCGTGCCCAAGATCCCGAGAGGAGAAAGGAGGAGAAGGGATTGCGGCGTGACCATCCCCCCTGGGGGGTGATTTCTCGCTTTCTGTCTCTATGTCTCTCTCTCTAAGCAGATGCCCGCCATGGAAAATCTCTCAAAAAAAAAAAAAAAAAACACTTATTATTCAACTGTGAGAATGTCAGCATTTAAACCACAGGAGGAGATCATTATCCCCAGTTACACTACAATACTAATGTATATTTGAAATTGACTATTCAGGCATAAAGAAATCTAAATGCCATACCTTATTGGGATTATTAAGGTGTCATAGTGATTAGAGATGATGGTAGTTTATATAACCATCTAATCATTGATCACCTGACACATTGTTAGAAAACTTACATGGACAGTATTTAACACATTAGCTGCTGCGGTAATTCAAGTAACAGCTCTCTAAATAGGTGCTATAGCTATCGCCTACGAATGGGAACTTGAAGTCAGGGCACTGAAGTAACTTATCCAGGGTACGCAGCTGGTTGTGGCTATTAGGGCACAGAAAATCTTGGTCCAGCAATAAGAACTGTGCCAGTTCAGAGACTGTGAGTGGGCTGGCTTGCTGACCAGGCAGTGGTGTGAATAAGCAGCTCTGATCTGGCAAGTCACTGTGTAGCACACTGTGCTCGCAATCGTGTGCTCTCTGACCTGGCCAGCCTTGGACAAAGAGAGAACTGGAATATAGTAAGCACAGAGATATCGTTACAAGCAGTTTCATGGGCTACGGTTATTGGTGGTTCAGTTTGGGTTTTCAAAATTAAATCAAAGAATGTGTTGCCTAAATTATGTAACACAGGCACTGTGCTGAGTTTCAAAGTAATTTAGCTTAAATGCTACATGTAACTCTGAACTGCTTTAAAATGCATATGACTTCAAAAGCGTATGTATGGTTCCATACGTGGCTATATATTTGCTCAATTAAATTTAGTTGAAAAAATATTACTGTCATATATTATAAATGGCAAGATGATTTACAAAGAATGATCATAACCTTTACAGGATGAACTTGTTATATCCATTGATACAACATTTAACGCATAAACAAAAAGCAAAATAGTATTTTGCCAAAGCAACTCTCCACAATAACTAGCTTTTTTTGTCTAAGTTAGTCAGTTTCCTCAAACTCCCAGAATATGCCTTATAATAGTAGAAATCATGTTAAATCCACATCAAATATTAGAACTAATATGAGCATTATTGCTTCTTTTAAGCGTAGTTTGGGCCCAGCAGATAACATGATGGTTAAGGCACTGGACTTACATATTGCCAACTGTAGTTCGAAATAAGTGGCTTGAAAGTCACCCAGTGTGTGTGTGTGTGTGTGTGTGTGTGTGTGTGTGTGCACATGTGCTCAGAATCCTGAGAGGAGAATGGAGAAGGGACTATGGCATGGTCATCCCCTCTGAGGGGCAATTTCTTACTTTCCCTCTCTCTGTCTCTGTCCAGTGAGTACGCATGCCCTATGATGAAAATCTTAAAAAAAATGTTGAATCTGATTGAATTATTTGAATAGAGAGGTATTCAAAGATGACAGAAAAACATATGCTCTGATTGTTTCATTACAATTTAAGTTTCAAGCATATTGATTCCTAGTGTAAGAAAAGGAGTTTTAAAATTCAGTCAAGGGACCAGCAGATGGTGTAATGGCTCTATTGCTGGACTCCCATGTAGTCGACCGCGGTTCGAGTCCCGGACCCGGTGGCTTAAACTCACGCCAGGCACGTGTGCATGCACACTCAAGATCCCAAAAGGATACCCAATGCATATAAAATATAAGGTTTGCTATTCTACTAAGAGATAACTTGTTTCCTAAAGATATCTGTTGTTAAAAATAAAATTTAGAGAAACTAAAAAAAAATTTTTCAGAGAGACTTTTGCAGTAGGGTGCATGTGCTTGCCAGAGAGACAGAGAGAGACAGAGAGTGAGAAATTAGCCCCTAGAGGGGATGGTCATGCCGCAATCCCTTCTCCTCCATTCTCCTCTAAGGATTTTGAATACACACACATGCCTGGCATAAGTTTTAAGTTGTTGGGTCCAGGACTTGAACCATGGTCAACTACATGGGAGTCCAGTGACATAAGCAGTACGTTATCTGCTGGTCCTGACAAACTAAAATTTAAATTTTGTTTATTTTAAAAAAGGGCAGGTGATTTAAATTGGGCAGTCTTTTAATTTAACACTGTGAAAGGTCAGAGGTAAGTACCATGTTTAAAAATCCTTATACTATTAATACATAATCATAAAGTACATTTAGCTTAATAAGGAATGAATGCTCTGTGCATGCACATACACACAAACACACATAATTCTTGCTTACTCTGAGTTATCATCTTACAGCCTGATTATCCTAAATTAACAATAAAATATACCTAATAAGTGTAAAAATGGGTGGCAAAGATGTTTGTTCATAAACAATAGCCTTTGTATTAATAACTTCATCCTTATTACCCTTCAAGCGCACAGCAATATTCTTGTTAATCAATTTACACATAAAAGCCTGAGGGTTTTGTTTCTGTTTTTTTCCTTTTTTTTTTTAATTTGCTAGAAGGTGTGTATGCTTCCTGGAGACAGAGAGGGGAAGAGAGACAGCACCAGTCATGGGAAAGATCATGATGCAATCCCCTCTCCTCTATTTCTCCCTCCTTTCAAGATTTTGGGTATGAATGCACAGGCACCTGGCATATTTTTCAAGCTGATGGTCTGGGACTCAAACCCACGTGATTGGCGATGTGGATCCATCTACCTCACCCACCAGGCCAAACCTGAGTTTTTTTTAAAGAGATGACTTACTCTATTTGACAGAGAGCCACACACACAAACCCCAAATATCCATAGCTACCTTTTGGCACTTTGGTAAAAGTGATTTCCTAAGGCAGTGAGTTATTAGCACGTGACCTAGCACCAAATGTAATAAGGCCACCCTTATGCGTTCCTTTAAAACTCTTACTTCTCTCTTTTTATTAGTTTATGACTGAACTACCCTACTGAAGCAGTGAATCTTTTCTTCTTAGAGAGATTTTTGCTATAGGACAGGTGCACTTGCCAGAGAGAGACAGAAAGAGAAATCACCCCTTAAGGGGCATGGCCACACCACAATCTCTTCTCCATTGTCTTCTTGGGATCTTGAGCATGCACACACATGTGCCCGGCATGAGTTTTAAGTTGCTGAGTCTGGGATTTTAACCA